CCTGCCGTTTCTATTTATTTTCCAATATTTCGGTTTTCTATTTCTTTTCTTCTTCATATTTTGTATTTCTAGAATCTGGAGGGGCATATGTGAATATATTTTTAAACAATTCATGAACAATATATTCACACATGAACCATTTTTCTGACATACACGAACTTTTCAAAAGATATGTGCATAATTTTTTTTCCATTCATGGTGAACCATTTTTAATTGGTATGAACCTTTTTTTGCATATAAGAACATTTATTTCTAGGAACATGAATGGAAATTTCTAGGAACCATTTTTAATTTACATATAGAAAATTCTCCACTGCAAAATTTTTATTTTTTATTTTTTATCTTTTAACAGAAATAATTATTAATGAGCTGCACAGTGGCCGGCCCACTATCCTTTCCCATCAGGCGGCGCTCGCGTAGCCGCCACTACAAAACTGTGTTAACAGAATATTTCTCAAAAGAGCTGTTTTAGCAGAAACTGTGTTCTCTTAATGGCCGGAAAGAGTTAACAGAACCTCTCAAAAGAAAAGAGTTAAGAAACAGTTTGTCAAAAAAAAAGTTAAAAAACTGAAAGAAAAGGGAGTTAACAGAACCTCTCATCAAAAGATAAAAAAGTTAAGAGACTGAAAGAAAAGGAATATATCGTGCATCAAAAGAAGAGCAATCTCAAAGCAGCAAAGCATCGCCAAGAGTAGCAGGACCACGACTTTATTCAGTACCTGAATTTATCATGTCAAGAAGCCATTACTGTCTTTATTTCCTGAATCCAACCATTGTTCATGCCCTGAATCCAACCAGGGCACCAGGCTAGCAACACCAAGAAGCACAAACTGGACGATATTACAGAAAAAATACAAGTCCCAGAGGGCATCACATTTCACACGGCAAATCACAGAAGATTTACAACCCCACTGGTTGCCTGGTTGCATCTACAGTTCACGGCGCAATGCCGATGCTGCTGCTTCTACTCGACGCCCTCGGCGGATCTCTGGATGAGCACGGCAGCCATGGTGATGGCGGCGGCGTATATGGCATTGGGCACCTTGTGCACTACCTTGCCGACGCCGGGGACGCCCTCGGTTGCCCTTTTGGTCGCCAGCGCCAGCGCAGGGGCGGCGACCAGCGTGATGATCAGCTTGAGGCTGATCGCGCAGAGTGACTCCGCGGTCAGCTTCCGGATGAACTCCGCGAACTCCTCGCGGTCCAGGAGACCGTTCATGTCGATGTCAAATTCCTGCGTGTTTGAGATATCCATCAGAGTTGTAACTTGTTTGTCTATAAAAATCAAAGCTGTAACATAGGACATTTCGTCGACAGAAAAGAAAGATACTCGGAGGAATCAAGGTGACTAGTTCACAGTTATAAACAATACTAATTCCCTACAAATATACTCTATATGACAGCATCGTAGACTAGAGCACATAAAACAATGGAAAATTCCGCGGGCAAGAAAATGGTATTCAGAGCTATCTGGGTGATAAGTTCAGAATTGTGAACAATGTATACTAACTTTAGCATAAAGGGCGCACCATAGACAACAGATTGCACATGAATCGCTAATTAAGCTTATATAAAGAGTATTCTTGACATGTTCAGGGAAGGAAAAGCAGAAATCAAGATTACTTTGCTTAAGTAGAACACACAGGTGAAGAACACGATATCCAGTTGACCAAATAAATCACAAAAACTGGATAAGGGGAAGGGGAGACTGTGATTACTCTCATGAGTTCCTTGAGCCTCTCCTTGGACGGGGGGTCGTAGTGCGGCCCCGGCAAGTACTTGTTGATGTCACTGCCGACCAAAAACAGCAGGAAGCATCAGGAACATCTAAGAAGAATCGCAGGAACAAATAGACGCTGAAAAAAAAAAATTCATGTGGGATTGGGCCGGCTGTCGTACTTGTAGACGCAGAGGACGGCAATGTAGACCTCCTCGAACTTGAGGGCGTCCTTCTCGGGCTTCTGGGTGTCCTCGGTGAGCCGGTCGAACACCTTGTCGGTGATCTTCCGCACCTGCCTCTCCTTCCAGTGCCGCCCTGCGCCAATTCGATTCGTGCTTCAGCTCCGAGAGGAAGAGGGGCGGACGGATCGAAGGGACGGCGTAGGGGTGGGTGGGAGTACCTTGGAGCTTCTCTTGCAGAGACGCCCAGGCCTGCCCCATGGCGTCGGGCGTCGGCGGAGGCTGGAGAGATGACGGGTGGGGGGCTCGGAAAAGGGGGGGAGAAGAGAACAGAAGTAGTATCTCAGGTCTCCGGGCGGTGTGTGATTCTGGTTTTGGCTTTTGGCTAATCTAATATTGTGGACGATAGATCTCCCTCGCACCTTTTCGTGACTATGCTACGGGCACACAGAAGCTTTACGCAGCATATCCTCCAGGGCCAGGCTCACCAATATATTTCCCGTTCTTTCAGTTTTAATTCAAAACATGTAGTAGACGACTGAGTACTACTCCCTCCGTTCAGAATTACTTGTCTCGAAAATGGATATATCTAGAACTAAAATACGTCTAGATATATCCATTTCTGCGACAAGTAATTCTAAATGGAGGGAGTATGTGCATATTTTAAATTCTGTGTTGCATTCCTGTGAAAAACTAAAGAACCCTGTATACCGGTTAGCTCATCGCTGTTGTTGTCTTGTGGGTATTACCCGCAAGAAAAGAGGTTCTTATAAGAATTTGGAGATACCTACGTTTATATCAATACCTTATTCTTGTACCTACTTATTGTTGGCATTTGTCGACTCATATTTTAAATTTTGAACATAAAAGGGATGACACTTATATGTTCTGGCGCAAAGAAATCTCCCTCCCCTCTATGCACACTACAAGTGGTACTTTAACCAAACTTAACTTTGACACAACATGTAAAAGATTCTTACAGAAGGGGATAGACTAGCTATTAGTATCAGACACTCCAAAAAAGCCATGTTGGGCCAACCCTCCATCTCACTTTCCATTTTTGGAAGAGATACACGTTCTAGGCGTGGAGACATGAGAGGGAGTGGAGGTGGTGTCACTAGTGACCATGAGATCCACTACGGCTACTATCTAACTCGTGCCCATGAGATCCATGGTGGCCTCCACCTCACGCGGCACCTAAGATCCGAGGCTGCCACCCTCATCGTCGTGTGAGTGGAGGTGGAGGCATGGAGGAGCCGAGAGAGACTAAGGTGGTGGTGTGCGAAAGTTGCAGCGCTGGTGAAGTGAGCACATGAAAAACGAGGACTCGGAAACAAGGTAACATAAGCGGGCCATATTGATACTTGTGTGTGATCAAAAGTAACCACGTACATGATCAGCCGCGAGGAAACTTTCTCGCTGGCAAACATAAATAGAAACAAGTGAAGAACACTTCATAGAAGTAAAGCGAATAAAAAGTCCATTGTGCCTTAGAACACAAGCCACGTGGGGAAACCTTATTTTACCTTTTTAAAAGTCAATGTGCTCCTAGACGACTGATCAGTTGTGCCATTAAGAAATGAAGTTGGCAATGGGGCAAATTTATTTTACCTTTTTAATAGAATAGGAGAAGCAATCAAATTTTATGCAGCATTATTTGTATATCACTTCAACTCATCCTATTGTTATGAAAAAGATAACATGACAACATAATAGAATGCTCTTAAGGAATGAAGTTGGTAATGCCCATTGCACGCATCTTCTTTTGAATCCTTGTATAATTTGTTAAATGGTTAAACAAAATGCATTACCCTTTTTTTATTAATTGTTGATCCTCGTAATCAATGTATAATGGCTTGAATGGCTCTGGTTGTGGTTTGTGATTATGCGGAACCGCACAAATGAGAGTTATGTTGCGGCATAGTCTAAGTGTAAGTATGCTACAATTGTTAGCAAAGCACTGTCTAAGCTGCTATCACAATTATGAACCTTCATACTTTGTTATGTAATACTATGATGTACTCATAAATAGTTGATCCCACGAATTATACTTATCTCATAAATAGTCGATCTCACCTCAAATGTCGTCTAAGCATCCACATCATCAAGTATTTGTACTTCTTTCATATATTTTATCGAGGGATTTTTATTGAAAATTCACATTTTTAGAAACAAATCATTTTTCCAAAGCGAGAAGGTCACGATGCAATATAACATGCAATCAGCCTCCATTTACGGCTAAGCCTATTTTCATTCATATATGACAAGAATGTGAACGAGCTTTACGCTCATATATTTTACTTATTACTATAAATTCCTGCACCAAGATGTAGGGTATTTAACATTTCACAATATGAAGATTAGTTTCTTTTTACTCTGCATATACTCCCTCCATCCAGAAATACTTGTCGGAGAAATGGATGTATCTAGACGTATTTTAGTTCTAGATACATCATTTTTATCCATTTCCAAGACAAGTAATTCCGGATGAAGGGAGTAACATTTGTCTAACTTCGTAAAGTTTAATCAATTTTATGGAAAAAATATTAACATTCACAATATGAAATCAATATCATTAGATGCATTGTGAAATTAATGTTCATATATTGTATTACTTTAATATTGTAGATGTTGATATATTCTCATATAAATTTGGTCAAACTTTACAAAGTTTGAGTTCAAACAAATCTTATATGGGGAGTGAAAAGAAACAGAGGAAGTATTAAGGAGTAGGAGTACTATGCACCCGCCCTTCAAACGCAGGGACACTGAACTTCTACAAATTCAGTTGTGTAGCCGCCGAGAAATAATAACCATATTAAGATCGAATGCCAATACGTACAGCCCTTTACCACTTTGTTTGGCTACAAATTTTCACACCGAGGTGCCTGAAATGCATACACATTTTCCAATAAAGGTGCACATTCATCTTAAACACATCGCCGCATCGCGCATTGCTCATCTATATATCAGAAAAGGCAACGCGGCGACCGGTTGAGGTGTTCACTGCTTGCCTGCCCGGATGTCCTGCAGGAGCATGAGCCCGGCGGAGAAGACGACGAAGAGCAGCGGCGTGGGCACCTTGTCCACCGCGTCCCTCATCCTCGGCACCTGCCTGCCGGCGTTCTTGGCCGTGACGGCGAGCAGCGGCGCCGCCAGGACGGCCACCGCGGCCTTGTTGGCGAGGACGAGGCGGAGGTCCATCCTCACCCACTCCATGATCAGCTCCCGGAACTCCTGCTGCGTTATCCCCTTGTCGCGGAACCCCTGCAGTCGATATATAAAACCAAATCACTCCCATAGCTGAGCAGAAGGCCATGGACATAGAAATTTCAGAAGTAGGAAGAGAGCAGAGACCTCCGCTTTTCCCTTGACGACCTGCATGCATGGAGGGTCCTTGTGAGGCCCCACCAGCTGCTTGTTGATGGAGCTGGATGAGACGCCCAACGAGATGGATCAGATCAAAGTTAGTTAATCAGGAAACGAGAGCAGAGGATGCATGAGGCGAAAGAGATGGATGCTAAAACACGAGCGCGGTATCCTTCTCACTTGTAAACCATGAGGGTGGCGACGTGGAGATTTTTGACGTCCAGGAGCTTGGCGTTCTTCTCGGCGTTGAGGACAGCCAGTTCGTCGAACACTTTCTCACATATCCTTACAACATCCAGCTTGCCTGCGACCAACCAACCCGTTACACCACACGAATGGATCAAGAAAATAGAAAGAAATTTACAAGATTGGTTACCTTGAGCTCTGTCCCACAGGCGGCCGAAGAAGCGCGCCATGGATCGATGCTCCTCCTTCTCTGGCCGCGGTGGAGGGCAAAGAACACGTACTACAAGTAGATAAGAGAAGAGAATTAGGAAGCTATGGCAGGCAGCATATTTAATTATTTATGCCGCTGCTGATTGGGCTGTCGAGCCGCAGTGGCTTGCAGGGAAGGTCAGAATCAGCCTAGAGCTAGCAGACCAGGGTGCGTATTGGTGATCACCGACCGAGCATTTGTGGGCCGGCAGTCCTTCCTTCCCTTGCGTTGCCTTGCTCCTCCGGCAACATAAAGAATTCTCGATTCCTACCTTTTTCCTCGCGTGAACACCAAATCCAAGCACCAAGGGTGCACCTAGTAGCTTCTCTTTTGAGCAAAAAGTAATATAATCCTAATCAACTTTGGACCGTTCCCGTGGAAGAATCACGCTCACACAGTAGGTTAGTTACCATTCTCTCCTGTTGAGTAACGTGCTTCAAGTAGAAAGTATTCCTATATATGTGCCCACGAGGCTCAAACAATACAACGAACTATTCCACCAAATCCCTCTCTCTCTTCTAACATGGTATCAGTTTCCGGGTTCTAAACCCTAGCCGCCGCCGCTTCCGCACCCGCGCGCCGCCCCTGGGGCGGTCGGCCTCCATGACCGCCGCCGGGGACCGCGCCGCCCGTACCTAGGGTTCGTCCGCCGGCCGTGTTGACCAGCTGCCCTAGAGAGTCTTTTTCCCGAGTGAAAGCACAAGTGCTCCCTGGGTGGTTTTGGTAATTAATGTCAACATATCTCTTGTTGGACTAATGTTTTCATCTAGTATATTTCAGACAAATTCAACAGATGGAGTGGCATGGACAATAGGATGTGGAACCCCTTCAAAATGTTAAGGACGAAGGATTGGCTCAAGCTCAAAGCTCACACTAGTAGAAAAGGGGGCTTTGGTCCAGGCCGGGTAACTCCATTAGTCCCGGTTCAGTCCAGAACCGGGACCAATGGGTGCATTTATCCCGGTTCGTGCGGCTAAGGCATTAGTCCCGGTTCACCTGGGCCCTTTAGTCCCGGTTTGTGCCACCAACCGGGACTAAAGGGTGCGATGCCCATTAGTCCCGGTTGGTGGCACCAACCGGTACTAATGGCCTTTGAGGCATTAGTACCGGT